CTCTTTTACATCGCGCCCGGCTTTCTGGCGGCTTCCAGCAGCGGGGGCGGGGCGGCGAGCGCGCCGCAGGACAGAGCAGGCAAAAAGGCTTGCAGAACAGAAGGAGGAGCAGCAGAAACAGCAGGTGCCGCGGCCAAGTCTCCACAGAAGAAGCTCTTTGCAGTCGCGGCGCCAATCCTCGAACTCAGCCAGACGTGCCAGGACCTTTCAGGAGTCGTCTTCGATGCCCTCCTGCTGCTGGCCGAACGCATCGTCAACGCGATGGCCAGCGAACAAACCATGGCCTGCGCCGCCGAGACTAGAGCCAAGGGCTAGGAACATGGACCCGACCCCCCGCTCACAGTGGCCACGTGCAAACTAGTCATGGGACTCATCAAATTGGGCGAGGCAGTCTGAGCCAAGACCCGCGCTGATCTCTCGAATGCCTGGGCGGATTACGACGAGCACGTAACATTTCAGAAGCGCGAGTTCGTTCCACATTGGTGCCGGGGCGAACCGCGCCAGAAGCAGCTTCGCAGGGTGACCTTTTCCACGAAAGAATCTTGTCGTTTCGGAAGGTCACAGTTCATCATGTGGATCAGGTCCCCAAGAGCATGGAGAAGTTTGGCCGTGCCTCCACGGCGCACGTGGAGCGCGAGATGCAGATATTTCCGGAGGCCGTGCTGAAGTGACGACGACTCACAGTTTGGGCGAGCATTTTGCAGCGCCCGTCCAGCGCCGACGGGAATCGGCCCAGCAATGCAGGTGCCATGTAGCACCGACGGACGTCAGCCCAACGACGGGATGGGGGCCAGCTCGTCATCACAGGTACCACTTTAGCACCGACGGGAACGCGCCCAGCACCGACTGGAGCCAGCCCGCCATCATCACCGATACCTTTTTCTGCATCGACGGGACGATCTCTGGGTCGGAGCTGAATGCGAGAAAAGCGGCAATCGTTCCCCTCGGGGGGCTGTCGCGCCAGCAAATGCGAAAGCAGTTGCAGGAGAAGGCGCCGCCATGGAGCGCCGTGGAGATTGCCGACGCCGCAAAGAATCTCGGCTTCCACGTCGGCCCCGGGCAAGGTTGCAAATCTTGGGGGGGGGGATCGAGGAAGATGGAGGACGCGGCTGCAGTTTGGGGTCGTATTGGCGCAGGCATGATGCATGGCATCGAAGCCCATCGCGTCCTCATCGCCTCCGTCACCACCTTCGTCGCGCAGCCTGACCCCCTTCCCAGAGTCGTTCCCAGAGGTGGAGACACGAGTCGTTCGGAAGCTATTCCCTGGTCCCGCGGATTGGTTCCACACGGACATTTTGAAGACGTTGAAGATGTTCGGCGCGCCGCGGAGTCTCCCCGACGCGCGGGCCATCGCCCGCGTTGCGTAAGTTCGCGCTGCCCTCCACGAGGCGTGCTGCAGCGGGGGATTTTGCATTCCAGCCAGCGCGGCATCGCTTCGCGCGGCGCTCGCCGACTTGGGGGATGCGCAGCGGCTGGGATCCCAGTAAATTTGGGTTTCGTCCTTTTTGTTTCCTCTCTCTCTCTCTCTCTCTCCCTATATATATATATATATATATATATATATATAGATGTGTTGTGTGTGTGTTGTTTCTCCTTCTTATTTTTTCTCTTTCTCTCTCTCTCTCTCTTTTTCTCTCTCTCTCTCTCTCTTTCTCTTTCTCTCTCTCTCTCTCCCTCTCTCCCTCTCTCTCTCTCTCTCTCTCCCGATGCCTCTCTTCGGAATTCCGCTGGCGCGGGGGCCGAGGCGGCAGGGCTCGCGGGCGCGTCCTCCGAGGAGGGCCGCCCCGACGGTTGGCGGGCCTGGGCTTTGACTGCTGCGCGGCCCTCTGTCGTCGCAGCGTCGCCGACGGTCGCGCGGCCCCCCCCCCTAGACAAATTGCAAACTCCCGCGCCCCCTGGATATCGACTCGGGGGTGGACAAAACCCCCATTCTGACACGTCGATTAGTGAATTGTCCGTTTTCGGTTGTCGAGAGTGCGCCGCGGCCGTCATTTTCCAGGCTTGCACCCGCCAAATTTGGGCCCGAGGTCGTTTTCACGAAACCATGTTTTACTAAAGGGGGTTTTGTCCATCCCCGATCGACGCCTCAGACCCCGACGCTCCTTTCAGGCCATCGCGAATATGAGGCCCCCCGCGCGTCCTCGCCGCAGTCCTTCGGGCCAGTATGGACGGGTGAATGACTGCCCGTCGCATTCAGCAGCAGGGCCGGCGCCTGCTCGGCTGCCAGAGGCTCGAGGATTCCGCGACGCACTACGGGAGGTGCGCATGTTGCCATTCGCTTTGTGGGCGTCCTGAACTTGGCGAGACCCGCAGCGGGCCACGATTTGGAGGAGTTCTTGCTCCTGGGCGCACTACAGCGGGAAGTTGGCGCGCCACGGCCTCGAGGGCGCTGGGCGCTTGTGCATTGCAGCGCACGCGCAGTGCGGCGCGTGGCGCCGGCTCCCCCTGCCCGCGCGAGGACCTCATCCGAGGCTGCTTGCGCGAAGGAGTGCGGGGCCGCGCGAAGGCATCGTCGTTGCTGCAGGCGGTGTTCAAGCGCCCGCGCCCGGAGTGAGTCGCCGTCTCCTCCCCTTGTTGTCCTTTCCCCTCGCCCCTCTCCTTGGCTTCTCGCCCCCCCGCGTGGTCCGCGGGCCTCAAAGGCGGAAGGGGTTAGGTTTCACGTCGGCTCCTGGCCGCTTCCTTAGTCTCATGTCAACGCGCGTGCTCGCCTATTGCAGGTAGTTCTTTCGGTTGTAGTGGGTGTTTGTCTTCTCCTCTCGTCGTCGTCGTCGTCGTCGTCCTCCCCCTCCTTTTCTTCCTCTTGTCAGCAACGTCTCCACTCGGGCTGTGGAACTTGGGTGGATAACTTTGACTCGGTCGTGCGTTCCATTGAATCATGTTGCAGGCTGTGTGGCCTCTGCTTGGGCGTGTCAGGGTCAACGCGCGTCGGCGAGCTGTGAGAGCCGCTTTCGGCTACTACGCTGCCTTTTCTTTTCCTCCTGCCTTTCTTGCTCCCCCTTCCTCCCTTCCCCTGCCATGATGTACTGCCTGGCCGTCGAGGCCGTTCAATAAGGGTCTGTCCAACAACAGTTTGGCAGGCCGGGGGATGATACGTTTTACAGTTGATTCGTATCCTGCGCCTTTTGGTTCCTGTTTTCTCCTCCACCTGCTCCTGGGCCGCTCGCCTGGGCAATAATAGCTCTCCTTGTTTGCGTCATTCTGTCTTGGGGGGGCAGGATTGTCCGTTCCCGCCGGCGCCTACAGCAAGCAGCACCGTAATCGTGACAAGGCCCCAAGCCGTCCTCCCCGACTGGCGTGTCGGCCACGTTCCTAGGACAGCTTGGCGACGAACATGCTAATTGCCAGTACGGTTGGTGAGGCGAGTTATGTATATTGTCGCGGTCCGCTCCCAGATTCCGCTCCGCTCAAAAAAGTCAGTATCGACGGGCACGACCGCGCTACTCCTATGACCAACAGGCAAACCGCATCATCTGATTGTAGTGGCCTTCGGCCAGTGCCGCCGATCCGGGTCGCTCGGATACACATATTACGCGGACACCTCACGCACGCACACGACCAAATGCACATACGGCAGACACACATACAGAGACACACTAGGCGCACGCCAGACACTAGCACGCACAGACATTCGCAGACACGCACCACACACAGAAACTCGCACAGGAGCCTGTCAGGGCGTCGAGGGGGCTTCTTGGGGGCTTTGGGGGGCCCTCTTGGGGGCTCTTGGGGCCTCCTGGGGGCCTCGTGGGCTGGAAGGCTAGATTTGTTCCGCTTTTCGTTCCTCTTTTGGGTCCTCTTGGGGCCGTCTTGGGGGCCTCTTGGGCCGTCTTGGGTAGCTTTTGGGCCGCCTTGGGGCCCTCTTGGGCCGTCTTGGGACTGTCTGGGGGCCTCCTGGGCCGTCTTCGAGCGGTCTTGGGGGCCTCTTGGGCCGTCTTGGAGCGTCGGAAAGCCGAAAAAAGCGACAACCCCAAAAACATGAAAAAAAACCAATGGAAATCAACGATTTTTGCCTCTGGGGGCCCTCGTGGGAGGCTCTTGGAGGCCTCTTCAGACGTCTTGGAAGGCTCTTGGGCCGTCTTGGGGCCATCTTGGGCGTGTTCGGGCGATCTTTCGGGGTCTCGGGACTTTCGTAGACCGTCCTAAGAGACTTTTGCGGCCGCGGCCACCCTTGTAGCGCATCCTCGAGATGAGAGCCTTCTGTAAAAGGAGCCCCCCCGCATCCGCCGGAAACTCGCACCCCCCCCCCCATCCCCCCTTCCCCGGCAGAGCCACCCCGGCAACCCCCCCAGAGGCTGAGGCTCAGCCTCGAGGCTGTAGCTGAGACTCCTTGAAACTCACACGCCGGATCGGCGGATTTTTTCCCCCTCCTTAATATCCCTCAATTGCCTCCTGCTGGATCAGGTGCCCCGTCCAGTATACCCCCCCTTCCTGCATCCGGCAAGCAGCTTATTACTGAACATGTGGCCTCCCGCGGTCTTACCCATGGGCCGGATTGCTTCTTTTTCGGCAGCAGCAGACGCATGTTACAAGCTGCTCTGCAAAAGTGCTACCGCATCGAGACCTTCCCATCGCCTTGTGGATACCTTGTGCGTCGGTGGTTGTACGGGTCAGGGCAGATTCATACGGAGCCACGTCCGCGGCCCTGGTGCGTACGGCGTAAGGCATATCACATGCGTTGTTTTACAGAACGAAGGTTCACCGCGTCATTGCTTCCAGCCAGTTTTTGGATACTCAAGGCCTGCTGCTGCGCGATCTTGAACGGACAATTGGGTACATCATTCAGTGGGCAATCTGACATTCTGGCGTTAAGGGTGTGCGTATCATATCTCCTCCTCCTCCTCCTCCGCCTCCCTGTCCCGTTCCCTTCCCCCTCATGCTCGTTCTCCTTCTCCTCATCCTGCTCACCCCCTCCTTTCCTAGTGCGTCATTTGTTCTACTCCCTCCTTCTTTATTACCTCCCTCCATCCCTTCGTTTGTTCCTCCACCTCCACCTCCCCGAGGTCTCGCTCGCGGAAGTCGCGGCCCAGGTCGCGGTCCAAGTCGCGGAGCAAGTCGCGGTCCAAGTCCGTGCGCCTCTCCGTGCGCATGCCGCACAACACGGACGCGGGGGCTTCGGCTGCACGCAAGAGCGACCCTGCGCTGGAGTGACCTTTTGGTGCGCGATGTCCGTGGGGTCGCGGCAGGGGGAGTGGGGGCGGGCGGGGGGGGGGGCAAATCCAGGCACGCAGGCCTCACCGTCGAATCGCACTGAACGATCTGCAAGCGGAGCACCAAGAACCATGCCTGCCCGGGATATCGCTCCCGCGTGCCGCCGAGGGGGGTCGCGCCCGTGGGCTTCGTGGGTCGCCCGCGGGGGCGCGAGAACCCCCCCACGCTTCGCGCCCCCGCGGCCTGGGCCAGAGGGGCGCGCCCCGCGGCCCGGGCCCGGCGCGGGGGCGCGAGGACAACCGCTCGACGCGCGTGGCGATTCGCGACGCGCGGGGACGGGTGGCCAGGGCCTCTGCTTTTTGGCCAGGGGCGCAGGGCTCCGCGCGCCTCTGGCTTCCGAGGGACATCCTCGGGAGTTCTTGCGTGTGTCCGCGTCCCGAAGAATGGACGGCATGGGATGCAGATTGGAGGATTGAGTTGTTTGGTAGTTTTTCGCCCGCCTTGGTTCTCCAGGAGGCTTCTCGTGATCGCAGTTTGATTCACTTCGAAATTCTGGTTGGAGATCGCACGCAGGCAGAGGTCTCGGGGGGGCAATCTTCAGGTCGTTGCCATGCCAGAGCAATACATATCTCCATCGTCTTGAGAAAAGCCAGACGGAGGCTTTACACATTTCAGCCACGTGGTGCTGTTTCTGAGCCCCTGGACCATCAAGAAACCATCCGGGATGGCAAATTGGCCCCGGGGAGTGGGTCGATAGTTCCAAGGCCCGAATTTTGAATTGACGTCAGGGCATCAGAGGTCTGGGGAGGAGGGGAAGCCGTGCTGACTAGCAAAGTTCTCTCATTCCTTCCAACTGGAAGCCCACTTGATTCATACACTAGGTCGCCCCCAGTGGCGCGAAGATACCAGTGCTTCGCTCGTCACGGTCAGGGCAACAGCAGGTCTCCTTCCCCAAAGGGGGGCACCACGAGTTCCTGGGTGACCTTTTCCCATTCTTCGCAATGATGCGTTTGGTGCTGTTTTTCCCTGCCTCATCGACTCCACTCCCCAGCCGCTGTGCGTGATGTCTCGAGCAGGGAGGAGGATGTAAAGGAGGCGAGCACGGCAGGACTGGAGTCTTGGGGAGCACGACGCCTGGTGCTTAGTCCAAATGCAAAACAAGTTTTGAAAGTATGTTGCGCGGGCGTGGGTCTCATGTGAGCTCCCAGGAGGAACAGAGACAAGAGGAGGAGGAGGAGGAGGAGGAGAAGCAGGAGGAGAAGGAGGAGGAGGGGGAGTGTTGTTTGGGGACCCAAAGGATCGAAACCCCTGGCAACGGGGCCGAAGTGCCAGTTGAACGCGTGATCTCTTGTGAACCGTCGTTTGGACCCCTGTGCTGGACTGCAGCCGAGCCAAGTTTAGTCGCTAATCCTTGTATATCCTCCTCCTCTCCGCCTCCTCTTCCTTGTTGGAGAAGAGGTGCTCCTTGAGGGGTGGTAGTGTGTAGCGTTGGACGAGTCCGTTGAGCATCACCTCGCACCTCGTTTCTCGTCTCTTCAATTATCATTGCTGCCACGTTTTTTTCTCGTTTTTTCCCTTCCTTTCCAGATGATTTAGTAACACCCGTGCGTTGCCTGAGCATCGGCATCGTTGTCCCGCCGCCGTCAGACATCGCTGACTTACCGAAGCTATTTTGGCTTCGGTCGCGGAGCAGAGGATCGTTCCTCCCGCCGCGCGCGTGCGCCCTCCCGGGCGCCCTCCCCCGGCCTGCCGGTCCTCCTCTGCGCAGCGCGATCCGAGTCATAGCTTAACGGCGCATTCTCATACTAAGCAGTGGTGGGAATAAGTACATCCCCAAAAAATTGATTGGATCAGGGCATGAAACTACTACAAGAAAAATATCATCATAAAGAGCACGAACACGCTTTGCCGTTTCATCGGGTTGCGAAAGCTCCCGTCCTGACGGAGAAGAGGCGAAATATTGGTTTCCAGCCGAAAATTCTATAATTGGCGAAAGCGACGTCAGTAGACGGGAAACTATATTCTTCCCTTCGGTGGACGATGCACGAAAGAAAAAAGACCACTGTCACGGTTTAAGTATGAACATTGCCGGGGCTGCTTCCTCCGACTATGTCGGGGAACAAAGTCAACGCCCTCATCCAAATATCAGCTGGTCTTTATCCTATGGCGATGAGCATCGCCCGGACACCCCGAAGGCCAATGACCGCAAGGAACCCGACTGGCACGAGCGCGGCGAGCAGATGCCGCCACCGACCGCTGGTCAACCCGACGTCGCCATCGACCTCTCGGACGGCGAGCAGGACTTGGAATCTATCGTCGGAGGAGCATATCGACGCCCAGACCGATTGCCTACGGAAGCGCCAGCTCGCCGCAGGGAGTGGAAGCCGAGGTCTATGGCATCAGTTATCATGCTCCTCTGGCCGACGATCCACTTCCCACGCTCGCGCCCCTCGCCGACGGCGAGGAGGCCGCATTCCCCTTCCGACGATTCCGTTGAACGGGAGTCAGCCCGCGGACAGCCCAGTCGGGGCCGCCAATAAGCAGAGGTGCGAGACGGTCAGCCTCTCAATGACGTCGCCGCCCGTCAAGCAGAAGAATGTCAGACGGCATTCCCGACGACGGGCCCGCGCGCGCACTCGGGGGGGAGGCCCTGCAGCTATGCGCCCGAGCCCCCCCCCGCCTCCCATTCAGCCCGACTCTCGGCCATCGATCATAATGCCCGAGACCCTTGGCCCACGGGCCCGCTCTCCCCGCGAGAGAACTTCGGAGCGGGGCGGACCGAGGGCGCCGAGGCCGCGTTCGCAGGCGTCCCACTTGTCAAAACTTATCAGGCTGGTCGAGTGCGCTCAGCATGCGCATCGCCGCGAAGTGCGCTCACTTTGGGCAGCGATGCGAGGTGCTTCCTGAAATCTGGTGCCCTGGGGCATTAGCTCGGTGCAAGAAGCCGGTATGTCGTGGATGCTCGGGGCCCTGTGGCCTCTGCAACCTGAACTTCCTGCGCCCGACGCGCCGCGCCCCGGCGTCGCGCAACTGCGCGGGGTTGCGCGCGAACGAGTGGCGCGAGGCCGGGGGGGGGGAGAGAAGTCAATGCACTCCTTCCGCACCGCAGCCCTGCTGCCCGTCCTGCTCTCTAGCCTTGCTTGCACTGTCTGCCTCTTTTCTTTACTTGGATGTTTTGAACAGGAAAGGAGCGAGCCTGCGGCGCGCGCGCGTCGGCCGGCGGGCCGGCCCCCCCCTTCAGGGTTACCTTATTGCATGCTTAACGGCACTATCTTTTCTCCCCCATGCCATCGGCGAAGCCCACTGTCCATGAGATGCAAACAGAACATCTTGAAGGGATTATGAATATTCAGGCAAACGACCGGTTATCAGCCAAAAAACGGCGGCACAGCCGTTAGCTTCGCAGAGCACGGGATCACGGGAAGAACGCTCAGAAGAAAAGAAGAGCGTCATCGTTCCGAGCATATTCGCGACGCAGGCGCCTCTAGGAGGCGACCTAGTTCTCTCCGCCCCCCAGAAAGGCAAGCGTCGAAAACTGCGTTCGATTTATCAGAGGGGGACTCTCCAGTCGATTCGATGATAGTAGTAAGGGAACAAACCCTGGGCGGGAGGTTCGGCGCAGCCAAAACTCCCGCCGGGGGGCCATCTAATCTGGCGCCGACACACCCGAGTTCCCAACCATCGATTAACTTAGACCATGAGATGGAGAAATTGCTGGAACGAGTGCCCGGAGAAACGCTAGATCAAGCTAACTGCAGCACAGGCAAAGCGGCGCAATTTGAGATTCATGGTCAGGGCGAGGAAGAGAGCAATCTACCATCTGAAAGGGACAGCTCGCATGCGATTGAGAGGAATGAAGAGTGCGCTCAATTTCATACTTCGCCTGGCCCATCTCATCGTCATAATCCCCTCGCCGATGGGTCCGACAGGCTCGCCCCAGGCGCAGACCTGTCTGAGAACGAGACAGTTGACTGTGCAACGGTCGATGCACTCCAACAGGCTATTCTCGATTCAGATGATGATATTTGAGATGGGGGAAGCCCAGGTCAAGGGAAGAGTTCGTCGGCCCAGCCGACGTTGAACTCGCCCGAAGGCGCGGGCACGGTCAGGCATGCCAGAGAGCCTACGGGAACGACTCCACATCCACAGGGAAAGAAGCCTAAGAATGAGGATGATGACCTACATGCCTCCCGTTTGCCAGAAGGGTTTCACCGACCAGACTTCACATTGACGAGGTCAAGCAGGGACAGGGTGTCAGAACTTGATGAGCTGGTGATGCACGTCGAAAGAGACGAGCTGGCCCAAAAGCAAGATGACTATTTCATCCATAAGGGTGTAAGAACAAGGGAACCGCATACTCCTGCCTCCAGCAGGGGACATAGGAAGGCCCCCAAGAACGGACGCTCCAGTTCCAGAGGATTCAATGCCCTTGAGTCACCTCGGTTATCATCAAATAAGACCACCCGTAGCTTCTCGACAAGGGATAGTTGCTGAAGCACGATCAGAACGTGGGTATTTTCTGATGAAGATTTAGATGTTGTAGGTCATGGTCTATTGTCAGACGAGAATATGGCCCTTATCACGCGGAAAGTGTGGATTGACGATGGGAGGTTCATCTGCCAGAATTACCATGCAGTGAGGGGGCTGGTCTTGGGTATTGTCTACAATGCTTCACCCCAGTTCAGTACATATTACAGCGTCCGAAAGGACAACTTAGCGCCACCTGGTAAAGATGCATTGGTTGCTGCATGGACGAGCCTGGGACTGAGTCCATACCTACGTAAACCCCCGAGAGGGGGAAGCGGCTCCAATATCATTTCTAACAGGCTGAAAGCAATGAATACAAGTTCTGTCGATGCGCTGGAAAATTTGAACAAAGCGGGGCAACGCCAGCGGAAGTGGGCCAATACTGAAGAGGCACGTCTCCGCGCTGTTTCGGCGGGCCAAACATTCTC